TATTTCAGTTTTTCCTTTTTAATAAATTTACAGACATTTCAAAAGTTCTGTTTTCACTTTGTCATTATGAGAAAAAAATGAATTTGAATGACTGTAGTATCAGGCTGCAACATAACATAATTGAAAAAAGTGAAGGGGGTCTGAATACTTTCCGAATGCACTATAAATCTTGCCACCGCAACTGCTTCTGTTGCCATAAATCTGGCTGCGAACTGTAGACAGTCCAGAGAGATATTTGCCATCAGGGGGAAACCACAGAGATGACCTTGGAAAAGCTATTCAGAATGGTTACAACAAAATATGCACTGAGCCCAGGAAACAGGGTAATTTTTAGGAAGACTCCAACTGACTCCTCCCTGACTCCCTGAGGTATAAGAGGGAAAACCATAGTAAGGCTTGCAAGATTTTGTTGCAACAGCTATCTCAATAAAGTATAGTTCTAATCATTTTGTGAGTCTATTTCTTGATCTAGTCAACCTTAAGTTGACTAAATCAACTTGAGTTCTTCTGCTGTAACCAGTTTATTATGCCCTCTCTAGATGCTTGGCTTCTACTTGTATATGCGATGGCATCAAATGTTCATACTACTGAAGCTCAGTTAAGGATGGAAGAGACAGCTGCTGCCCCAGTTCCCAGTGTGGATGCTTCATAGTGTTGCTCCATGGTCTTGCCTTGCCTTTGCTCATTAGGGTCAATAAAAGCCTTTTCTCCTTTTTTCAACACCACTAATTCAGATACTTAGGACTGCCATCATCTCATCACATTCCCCTATGTAGGAGATATCAATTGTTACCACTCTAACTCTCTTCCTGGGTGTTGGTATCCTTTCACTCTCCCACCAGCATCCTGCTGGTGGAATAAAAGGGTATCAAGTGGGTTCACTCCCACTGTGGCATGAGAGTCTGGATGTTGCCAAATTGTTTGGTTATTTTATTTGAAACAATGTATTTCTAAATCATGTTCAATTTCAGTTGCAATTTGATAGATGCAGCGCTATTAAGCTTTATTCATTGATAAATACTCTATATGGTCCCACAAATTACAGAAAAAACATTACATTATATAGGTTATAGAACTGAACCTTTAAGAAAATACACAGAAATGTAGATGTGTGGTTCTCTTATTCCAGATGCTCAAACCAAAGTTACTTACTGTTAAGACACGGAGTTGTTCTTCTAGCTTGATGGCCTTGTGCTCTAAATTGTTTCCACTCAAGATCTGTCTAGATTCATTCTGAGGATCTTCTGGACCACAATCATCCCCTGTGCTCTTTTGTTGTGCAGCAGTACTGAAGGCAAAGAGCAAACCTCTGAAACGATATAAGGACCAAGACTGTAGAGAAATGTACACTTGCAAAAACCTATCTATTTCATCTTTATTTTTAAAATAAAGATTCACTTATTAACTGGGGTGGCTGTAACTCTTTTGGTTTGTATCAAGGAATCTAGCCTTAGTACTGTGCTACAAGGTAGGGATATTTTTGTTCATATTTTTATTTTTTTGCCAACAGAAAATGGACTTATTCACAGACTAAGATCCAAAAATTTCACATAGCTAGGAAGTTTCTACATAGCTTGGAAATTTGGTTCAGGTGTTCCTGATTTACAGATAGGACTCTATGATTATCTGTAGGCATAGGACATTATCTACTATGATAGCTTTTTCCTATTTAGCACCTTACAGACATAGGTACAAAACGACACAAGAAAGCAACTGGCTGACAAGCAAGGAGACAGCCCTACACAAGCTATCATTTACAACACAAGGTAATTTTTACAATTATACTATGAGCTAACAATTTGCTACTGCATATGATCAACAGAATGGAAACTCAAAGCAGGCAACTATTTTCTATGCTAATTAGAATTTTAGAATCCTTTGTAGAACAAGACACATTTATGCTTCTAGCAACATCCTACATAATCCAACAGTCAACTATATGTTCAGCAGAGGTGAATTCACTCATCTGAGAAATAGCTGCAGCAGTTTTAGACATACAAGCTGGTTTTGCCCAGAAGGTAAAGTTCAATATACAAACCCTGAGTGATCAACTCTTGGAACAAAAAGCTACTACTTTGCCTTCAGTGAGGAAAATTCAAAGTTCTGCCACTGTTTCTATGTGTGGAAGCACATAGAGTTATGAAAAGGCAAAGTCCACAATTAATTAATTATCTATCAGCAGAAGCTACATGGGAATCCTCATGGTAAATAGCCATATAGGCAATTTTATTAAATTTGCTAATACCATTTGGAATTCTAATTTCAGTTTTCCCAATGATCTTTTAGATGCCTAGATACTGCCTCAACTCACAATGACGTCTTAAGTAATTCAGCTAATGATACCTGGGTGGGGCGGGTGGGGCAAAGGATTCTTACTAAAGCCCTCTGACAGGTTGTGCTAATAATTTGGGCAATAAGGATGGCAGCAAGGGAGCTTGTGAAACCAAACATTCATTAATAATGAATAATGCACTAGCTTCCAACCAGCCCCACCTGCTTCTCTTCATTTTATTTCTCCTCTCCAGCCCTTTTTTAAAGAAAAAAAAAAACTTCTCAAAAATGAAGAATTATGAGTAAAGGTTAGATTCCCCCCCCCCATGTACACATACATATAGTATACTGCCAACTACTACTAATAATTTAGTAATTATTAAATAATAATTTCCTCAACCGAGGGGCCTTTCAGATAGTCACTCACATCCTGGTCACCTTACAATTGGACTACTGCAATGCACTCCACATGGGGCTGCCCTGAAGATCATTCAGAAGCTACAGCTGGTTTAAATGCAGCAGTGCGAACAGTGATGCCCATTGTGTCACTGCTGCTACACAAGTTGCATTGGTTGCCAGTTGGCTTCCACGTGCAATTCAAGGTACTGGATGTTACCTATAATGCCCTTCAAGGCATAGGGCCTGGTTGTCTGAGGGACCGCCTATCTCCTATTGTCTTTGCCTGCCCAGTATGTTCTGGCAGAGTAGGTGTTCTCCAGGCCCTCACATTTAAATGTGGCCACCTTGTAGGACCAGGGAAGCATGTCTTCTCTGTTGCTGCCTCTGCCCTCTTGAACAGCACCCCCTACCCAAGATATGGCTTCCACTCTCCTGGGGTTCCAGAAAGTCTTTAAGACCTGACTTTGCTCCCAGACCTGAGATTAGGGTGTTTGTGGGGGCTCTGTCGTATTTTGATTGTTATAGTTGCCTTTAGCCTGGACTGTCACATTCTGTTCTGTTTTTTAATTAACTGTGTATTTGGATTTTGTAAGCTGCCCAGAGTCTACTGGAGTGGGCAGTCAAAATACAATTAATGAAATAAATAAAAAAAGAAGCAATTAAAGAACAGAAAGCCAAGTGCAGTAATAAGTAGAGAGGTTAAACCATGGAACTTTTTAAGGATCTGTACTGAGCCTGGTGCTTTTGGACTTGTTTATAAAGGATTTGAAGCTAGAGTTGAGCAATGAGGTAGCCAAGTTTATTGATAACAATTATTTGGGAATCAAAAAGCTCCAAAAGTACTCAGTTGGAAAATGAGGATTAAAATTGCAAATATAGCTTAATGTAAGATAATACAAAATGATTTGCACAGGATGAGAAAATCATAATCTGACAGATTTGTGGATAGGCTCTGAAAAAATAATAACAGAAGGACTTGGGTACTGGTGATGATCTTTCAGTATCAGAGGCCATATACCTGTTGCTATGGAAAAGTGGGAGAATCCTATTGCCCTAATGTGCAGATTGGTTGTATGAACAGGGTATTGGGCAGCCCACTCTTCTTTGGATCCAGCAAGAGGCTTCTTACTTTAAGGACAAGTTTAATGTATATTAAGCATTTTTAATTCCAAGGAGACATCTTTACTGTTAAGAGGCCAATCGTATGACATTCTTCAATGCATAGTAAAACTAGTTTTTAAAAAAATAATCAAGAACTCAAAGGAAATGCAAGACCTTCTCTAAGAGTCTCTTAGGGTGGTAACTCTTATAGACATCCTTGAATGCAGTTGTATACCCATTTATTACAGGTAGTCTTTGTTTAGTGACTGCCTTGTACAGCAACTGTTCAGAGTTATAACACTGATGAAAAAGTAACTTTGCAACCAATCCTCACATTTATAACCTTTGCAGATCTGTAAAGCGAAGGAAAGCTGAAGACCATAGGCACAGTTGCAGTTTCACTTAACGACCACTTTGCTTAACAACCAAGTTGCCAGTCCCAATTGTGGCTGCTAAATGAGGACTACCTGTACATGAGTAAGCTTCCATGGACACAACAGAAATTTTCTTTTGAGATTAAAAAAAATGGTGATATACACTGCTAAAAGAAAGGTTATGGCTTAGTACAGGGGTCCTCGAAACTTTTTAAACAGGGGGCCAGTTCACGGTCCCTCAGAATGTTGGGGGTCCGGACTATAGTTTGAGGAGAGGAGGAGAGCCGCCAGACCCGGCATACCTGACATGTAGAATAGTCCGGCTCTGCGATCTCCCTCCTCATGCATCGCCTGCAGCTCCCGACACAGCCCCGACACTTCCGCTTCTGGCAGACAGCAGCGGTGGCCAATCAGGCGGGCGGGCCAGATAAATGACCCTGGCGAGCCGTATCCGACCCGCGGGCCATACTTTGAGAACCCCTGGCTTAGTAGATGGGTGGTCTCATGCCATATAATAGAACTTTCTGAAGCCCACCTATCAGTTTTATTTTCATGACAGTTACCTACCTCAGTTCAAAACAAAGATGAAATTTTGCATCTATCAAACATGTTTTGAATGTGCTGCTGAAAACAGGCAATTCGCCACTGAAATTCAGTGGCATGTTTTCAGCCTTTTTGACAGGGATTTAGCAACAGAAATTGCAACGGTTTGCCTACCAGAAGGAAACCATCCAGCTGACTGTATGACTTGGGAATCTAAGCAGGATTGAGCTTAGTTAGTACTTGAATGGGAGACCACTAGGAAATATTTTGCCTTTTATTTTTTGTTTGCCCCAGAAGGCAAATTTTAATCTGCAGTTAGAATTTTTGCTAAATCAGCAATGATTAAATCAACTAGAATTTGAAGCCTTACCTGCCAAATTAATAGCAGGTAAGTAGGGTTCCAGAGCACTTGAATTATCTCCACTCTTAGCACAAAGGCCCCCCTTCAGCTGTCTCACTTGAAGGCAGAAAGGCTGGAAAAGGGCAGATCAGGACTGTATGTGCAGCCATATTTCTTCTCCACAGGTTCAGGCAAACACCTGAATGAGGCTTAGATTAATAAGGCAGCCACTTAGTAAGGACACAAGCTTAAAATATGTTCACAAACATTCAGAACATCTCATAAATCTCTTGTCTAAAACAAACAGCCCTTTAAATGCTTACATTTTCTCACTGGTTGTTTATATCTGAACATAACTGCACATGCTGTTTATTGCGTATTTGAATGAGCCTTTGCCAAAAACTTACATAAAGTAAATCACTGTCTAGACACGCACTCTTTTACCAGCTCAGTAAATTCTGCAGTGCAACACATAATTTATAAAACGTCTTGCTACTTCAAGTAAACAACCTTCTTCAGTCTTTAGGGCCAGATTCTGAAAATACTAAATATCCACAGAAAAGAGGTGCCTTGTGTCTTTACCCGGGCATACACATCAGGAGCTAAAAAGACCTGCCTAAATGGTGAAGTATTCAGATCAAGTTGCATTACTTATCTGAGCCCCAAGTGTGAACCAGTTACAAAAAAAAAGAAGGATGGATGGCAATTTTTAAGGGACTTGCCTGAATGACAACAGCTAAAGTAGAACAGCTAAAGTTTTCTCTTCAACTGAGTCTGAGAAATTACTGTGTCAGAGCAGCAACTCAGATGTTCTAAAACATCAAACCACAGTAGGCACTCTTGTGTTTTTAATTACCATTGGAAGACTAATTACTTCCAATTCCAGATCAGATTCCTATATAGTGCTGTGCTCTGTGTGAAGCTGCCTTTGAAAACAATCCAAAAGCTTCAATTGGTTCAATACAGCTGTTAGTTCTGACTGGATGCTTCTAAGTATTAGCAACCCATTTAATTTGGGATTCAGTGGAGGATGGTGAATTTTGGATCTTCTGAATTTTAAAAACCCAAGATTAAAACCCCAACAGTTGGTTCCCTTTGTATGAGTCTGCCCAGGAATTCTATTCGGTTCTAGAGGCCTCGCTTTAGGCATTCTGCCATCAGACATACAGTGGGGATGGGTACGTGGAAGAAAGCTTTTTAACTGTGATCAGAAATCACCTCCAAAAGATAGTATACTTGACACTTTGAGGTGACTATCCTCAGAGTAAAGCTTAAGTAGAACCACACCCTCAGAACATTAAAAATGGTGTTGAAATCTAAGATACTACGGAATGCACGTCTTTTATTACACAGATGTTTGCACAGTTGACAGAGATATATCACATGCTGCGTATTTGCCAATGCTTTGCAAAGTTCAAAGGGAAGTTCAATGTTTAACTATAGAATTTACTGTGAAATCATTTACATATATGTCAGGTAAGTTGTCTTTTTTCTTACAGCACTTTGGTTTATTCATCTGTGTGTCCATTACACACAGGCATGGAACCTATGCAAGGTATATACATTACACAGGCATTTTCCCCCACTTGTAGTTAACAACACAAACATGCCCCTGAAACCTTTTTTTTCTGCCACAACTCCATGACCTTGCCTTTATCTAGTCCCCAGCCCATGAGCTAGACAGGCATGAGTCATCCTTAGCAGCATTAGTGTGAAAGACCAGCATGCCCCTCTTACTCTGACGTCATCCAAGGATGGCCTCAAAATGTTTAAAATCTGCCAAGTTTTATCATCCAGGAACTCAGATGAAACAGAGGCAGGAAAGGGATCAGTAATGGGGACAGCAAATTTCATGCCAATATAATTTTGTTGAAGGTAGTTGGACAGCACTATAACTCAGCAGTGAGCAAAAGCTCCTAGTTATTGTTTTGTGAGTTATAGATTATACTCTACATTAATATGCACAGCTTGCCTACTAATGCCCAACAGTGGAGTTGCTGGAAAACGTGCAGTGTCTGAACCTACCTGAGCAAACTCAGCAACTATTCCCAAGATTATTTAAGTCCAACTATTGGAACCTTTAAAAAATCAGGTTGATCATCAGCAGTGTTTTAAATGTTTATGAATTTTGGTTTCAAAAATGTTTCAAAGAGAAGATCTACTACATCCAGCAGTGAGTCCTGATATTTTAGCCTGCTATGCCCCCCCCCCCCC